ACTGCACCTTGGATTCCTTGTAGTTATTCTGAGTCAGGTGTTTCAAGGCGGTTATGTTAGACTCTGTTTCTGTATGACTATGGTTACCATTAATAAAGTTGTCTCCATAAGTTACCAGGAAACAGACAGTAAAGAAATATTAACATTTTCTTGAGAACTAGTAATGAGATATAGATAGAGATATATCTATATAGATATATATATGCAGTGCAAATAAAGGAGAAGAAAAATGGGACTAACTAAGCCAAAATAATAAAAAACATTAAGTGATTCCATAACTACCATTCAGCTTAAGAACTTAAACGACATTACATTATAAATGATAACTATGCTCCTAGGCAAGAAAGCAAATCCCAAGCTCTGTCTTGAGAATGGTTAAATGCTATCCCTTTCTGGTCTCAGCCATAAAATCCATAGTCTGGAGCTACTGCTTACTTCCCAGGAAGGGTTTCCTGGGCTTTCAAAATCGCCACACTCATCAGAGGAATTGGGGAGCCGGTTTGTACTTCAGATTAAAGTTCAGAAAGTAAATCCAAGGACATGGGTAGTATTGAGTTAGATAGGAGTTTCATTGATTGAATAATCTATAGCTGCAGAAAGTACAGCTATTTTTCTACCAAGATTCACTTATCTGGCTTTCTTCTGAGGAAATCTTTTTATGGGGTACACCTATCAGTTTGGACACAGAGGTGCGATGCTCATTGGCGTATGTCCATTAAACTATAATAAAACTACACTGCAGGTAGCATTTCAGCTGTCTTATTTTTATATACTTTAAGTTTATATCTTTATGTTCATGTACTTTCATTCTTTTATACATCTCCAGCATACTAATCTCTGTAGCAGATGACTAAATGGGAAAGAAAAGGCTAGAGTTTCGATAAGAATGTGTATTTTTTTCAATTTGATGACCTAGTCAGGAGTTCCAACCTCTCTCCCAAACCACAAACCCCCAAACTTTGAGAATTTTAATAGAAATTCATGGGACAGGTTAATTAAACTTTTCTGTTATTTTCTCTCTTCCCTTGGGCTCCCTGGAGTACCCTCACTGGAAGACGTCTCTTGGAAGACCCCATCACCTAGGCATTAGGCACTCATTTGGGAGGTAGCAGAAGTGGGCTCCAGTCCATTCTCGAATTTACAGAGAAGGGATTGTCTTATGGTGTCCTAAGTACCAGGGGAGTATATTAATATCTAATCTATAGGAACCAGTCCTTTTTCTCAAGTAATAATAACCAAGCCCCTGGAAGTGTTTTCATCACTTTGAGGGACCCATATTTTTGTTACATTTTCTTCTGATTTGTGAAATGACACCTTTCAACAAGCAAATGATTTGCCAACCAAAATATAAAAATAACAAACAGCCCTGAAAAAAGTACCTACTGCTTGTTTTGCCAGCAATTTTGCAAAAAGACAATTAAAGACTTGATTGAAGTCCCTTTAATAGATTTCAGAAGGAAGTGCACTTGACTTTGTGACTTCATAATCAACCTTAACTTTGTTTTCAGAAATTTGAATGGGATTTAGCCACACAAATCCCACTCTAATCCATAGGAGTTCTGTGGATAAAACCCAAATGGCTCTCACAGAGAGACGCATCTTGTCTTCTTTAATTAAAGACTTCTGGATTGATTCTTATAATTTATTGTTTTCATAGTTGATTTATAAAAAAAGCTGTTGGGATGTTTCATGTAAATATGCGTATAATAAATTGTTAAACTATTATTCATTCCACCAGTCTGTAGCACACTATAGCCCAGCTTTGTGCTTTTGATAGTACAAAGTCATTACAAAGCTCATAGGTAACTGCCTATTAAAAACTAAATAAAATGTCTACACTTTTAGTCTCATTGTGGACAATGGCACAGGTTCCACTGACTTGAATTGGTGTAGGATTTGGCCCATTAAAATGATTGTTATCTATCTTCTCATTTTCGCCAGCACATCGGTAGATCTGTCAAGGTACTGTGTATGCTGCATTTCACTAGTGCTCTCGCTCGATGGCCAATTAAAGAGAGTAACTGGGCCATACACAGGCGTGGTGTGTACATACAGTAACAGAGCATCCACAGATGTCCCCCTGGACCCACGTTCCCCATATCTCTAATAGCATCTTCTGGCCATCCTGAGTGGAGGGGAATGTCTTTCCACACGTAACTGCCCTGTCAGTGGCTGTTGGGGTCTGAGGGACCTCTCGTGGGGCTGACATTTTTGCACGCTGGGGACAGGGCTGTCCCTAATCATTCTGCTCCCTTAAACTATTCCACCAAGGTTGTCTTCTTTCAGGCAGGACAATCTTGCCAGCCTTGCACACCTCACCTAGGCACCAGCCCAGGTCCAGTTACCGAATCCTGCCACTCTGCTTCTGTTTCCATGATGGTGGGAATGGCATACTTGCTTCCTCAAGCCTTTTCTGATGTTCCAGGAAAAACTGAAGCCCTCCAGAAATGGTTAAATTAGTTAGATGCTTCATTGATTCAATAATCTGTGGCATGTTTACATATTTATTATACTCAAGGCATTTCTAAGTTTGCTCTTTCTCTCAAAAGAACAATAGCAAACGCTCCTCTCCCAAGGTTAACAGTTTCCAGTCCATCACTTCTTTCACCACATCATTTCATCCTGCAGGTTTCCAGTTTGATGGCTGTTAAAGGTTTAAGAAGTTTAAATTGACCTTGACCTGCAAGCATGTGATTTACAGTAGATGATATTGTTCTGGAAAAACAAAACTTCTGTCCTGAAGCTAAACTGCATTTAATGATTTATATTACTTCTCCTGGGCTAGGTTCTGGTGTATTTACTAATACTGTAAGTTATTTTAACTCCTCCAGAAGCCCCACTGATTTTGGAGGCACTCTTCCAAGGTGAGGCAGATTCACAATATGAATAAATATACCAACATGTGGTCCCCTAATATATTGTCATGATTTCAAAGATAAATTCTTTGATCACTCCTACCCTTGTCTTCAGGTCTGTTTGTAAAGTCCTTGCAAATTATTCATACATATTTTGAAAATATACAGATAGTAGCTGTTTTCTTTAAAAGAAATCCCTATTGGCAGTATCACGAGTTACCTTGGAATACGCTACATATGTTTGAGCTGGAAGAAAAAAGTCCTCCTTCTACTCTGGCAATTGTGAAATGCATTCTAGTTGCAGACTTTAATGGGGCAGGTTTTAAATCACAGTGAATTAAACAATTAATTGTAAAATGATGACAGAATATCTTTCTGGTGTCCCGGTGAAGCTTGAAAGTTTGGAACAATGTGTGTTAAAGAGACAAGACTGGCATTGAAGTGTTCCTGGTATCATTCCTGCCTTTTAACTATTTTGGCACGTTCTTTAGGAAACAGCAGAGAAAGAAAAATATGAAATTGAACACAGCAAATTTAATTATAAAACAAAGCCACCCACCTTGCTTTCAGGGTCAGGAAGTATAATCACCTCCTCTTGACGCAAGAATGAGTTTAACAACATATGTTAAATGAACAATTATTTAAAATAAAAGGAAATGACCTTAAAAACAGCTGCAGTATCTCAGGCTATAGCCCCGACAGCAGTGCAGAAAAACAGCCCATTGTGGAACGAAGGCACAGGCACAAATGAGAGTGCTCCCGCAACCCTGCCCTTGCAAAGACAAAAGCAAAAAGCAACCATTTCACAGAATACCGTAAAATATCTCGCTTGAATTTGATCTCACCAGCTTGTTCTGCCTCAGATTTTTTATTTACGTTTGTTTATTTTGGTCTTTCTTTTTTCTATTTATTTCTTTGTTGGCTGCAAGACTAAATCATCTTTTACACCCAAAGCCACTGTTTGTTGCACTATGGCACGATGACATTGGGTGTTCTCCAGTAAATTGTGTTTTAATGAATGTCACAAGCAGTGGATGCACCAGAGCAAGCACAACAGCACTAGCTAGGTGCGCACCTATGAAGAATAAAAAGAAAAGAGCTTTTTGCAACAGAATAAATCCATTTTTCCTGAAAGCTCCCGGAGTCACATGACCAAGCCCGGAGCCTTTAGGACAGTGCAGAACCAGGCTGCGCCGGGAAAGAAATGAAGCAAGTCTGCCTCCTCCTCGCACACGCTTTTTAGCCTGTCGACGCGTTGCCTGTCCGTATCCCTCACAGCGCATCTGTAGAGCCATTAAATTGGATAATCCCTCTGGCCTTTGATACATTTCTGGACATGATTATTTCATTACTCGCAGTATATCAGTAGGATCATAATAAAAAGGACTTCTGACAACCTGCCAAGAGTTTTGTGGCCTTGTAAACACAAAAGTGCTCTAATAAAATTTTATTAAGTGTTAAAAAGTCATAAAAAGTGAAATAACATAAACTACAAAATTTACTGTCCTCAGCAAATGCTGAAAATATCGTCCATAGTAAAATTAAATTAGCATGTAATAGCGCGGCAGTGTGGAGTGGGTTTAAAAGAGGATCCGAGAGAAAAGGAAAAAAAAAAAAAAAAAAAAAAAAAGAGATTGCACTTGAACTAAATATGGGTCACGGGGGTTTAGTTTATGGCGATCCCCGCGTTTTACGGGCGGGCGGGCGCGGATGAGCGGGCGGGGGCCGGGGCCGGGGCCGGGGCCGGGGCGCGGCGCGGCGCGGGGCGGGGCGGCCGCCAGGCGGCGCTGTGGGAGCGGGAATGCGGCGGCCCCGCGCCGCGCCGCGCCGCGACCCCCGGAGCAGCCCCGCCGGCCGCCGGGAGCGCTCCCCCACCCCAGAAATGAGCCATTTACGGGGATTTTGGCGTCTTCTTGCAAATCAGGAAAAAAAAAAAAAAAAAAAAAATGGAGCGAGGGAAACAATGCGGGTAGAGCTGGGCTGGAAGGCGCCGCCCGGGGCGGGCAGCGGCGGAGCGGGCTCCCGGCGGCTTCGGCCGCGCCGCTGCCCGCCGCCGGCCCGGCTCCGCGCCCCCGCGCCCGGGGCAGGGGCAGCGGCGGGGGCAGGGGCAGGGGGTCCCGCGCCGGGGGCGAGGCGGCAGAGAGTGCTCGCCCTCCGTGCCTCCGGGGGCCCGCCGCAGGAGCCAAGTAAGTTCAACCCTTCCATCGCCGTCGGTGCTGCGCAGGGAGATGGCACGGCCGGGACAGGGACAGGGACAGGGACAGGGACAGGGACAAGCACCGCCGCACACGGCCGCGGCGGGGCGGGGGGACACGGCGGGACGGGACGGGGCGGGCTGCCGCCGCTCGCCGCGCTCCCCCCGTGCCGTGCCGTGCCGTGCCGTGCCGTGCCGTGCCGTGCCGTGCCGTGCCGAGCCGGGCCGGGCCGGGCCGAGCCGAGCCGGGCCGGGCCGAGCCGGCTGCCCCTGCGCGCCTGGCAGGGGGGGACGGTTTGGATCCGGGCTGGTTTTGGCTCCGGCAGCGCCCCGCTCCTGGGGTGTGGGCACGGGGGAAGCGGCTGTGGCGGCGGGGCCAGGTGCCCGTGGCATCGCCCCTGCCTCGGGGTGTCCGTCCTTTGGGGCCGCACCGGGATTTACCTGCGGTTGGCCGGGAAGGAAGCGCCCACGGTCCCGTCACATGGAGCCGCTTGGCAAAGCCGCCCGAAACTTAAGGCGGGGGGGAGCGGGGAGGATAAAATAATAATAAAACACGGAAATTTACTTCGGATTTGTGGGTAGGAAATGTTTTTAAGTTTAGTTTTATTCAGTTGAAGAGGATAACTGATTCCCATTTGGCAAGGCTGATGTTCAAGGCCAACTACTGTACAAAAAATAGCGACTTGCTGCCTAAGCCTGGCTTGTCTTGGCGCCTGGGCTGGTGCACGCTGGAAAAGTGGACCAGAAGTGCAGCCGGACCGGCCCCGACGAGGAGCAGGCAGAGAGAGACCTTTAGGCAAAAACTGGCTTAAAGATAGACAGTATATGAGCAGGAACAAAGAGCTTTGTTCTCACTAAGGGGGGGGGGGAATAAAAATGAAGATATTTTTAGTAGAAATCCTAGGAACTCTCTAAGTATGCTGCACGTTAGTAATTTTGGATCTATACACTGTGTACTAAGGTAGGGTTACAAAGAAACATAAACAGTATTGTCCTTTACTTTGAGTCATCTGAATGAATGGGAAAGTTGTTGGTATAGTGTAAAGTAGTGATTGCTTTAGGTCGACTGTCTTAAATTAAGACTAGTTTCTAAAAATAGGTATTTCTGTTTACACATAAAATTGGCTAGACCTGTGTGCATATGCAACCATACAACCATAAAATGTAAATTTATCTCACTGATTCAAAACTTGTACTGTTTTATATACCCCTATGTTCATCACCTCTGATTAAAATAATGAGGATATTACTGTGTAATTCATATATATACTTACTGACAAATTACAGAAATAAAATACATTTGAATAAATAGCAAAAAACTTTGCTTTTCTTCCATCTCAGATTTTTATATAAATCTTCCATAATTTTACAGTAATGACTGAAATTAGTAATGCTCACAGAAAGAAGTTGTACTTTTTAAGTCGAATAAAATGACCACATCGCGTTGTCTACTGCATTTTAAAAAAAATCTGGGCTCTAAACCATCTATGGAAATACACAAGTTTTCAATGAACATTAAATAATTATTTTCTTTGCCCTGTAATGAAATTTTCAGTCTTCTGTCACCAGTTATAATGTAAAGACTGCAAAAATGCAAACAGAAAATGTAGCAGCAGTGTGATCAAAGCTTTGAACTTACATGAATTAAAAAGCAAAGCATTACAGAATTCCACATACATGTGGCTAAGGTGTGTGCACAGCTATATAACTTTGAAGAGTTCTTAAATGAAATGAAGAGGTTTGGGAGTTAGTTTGCATTACTGAAAGACTCTTCAGGATCAATTCTAATAATTGTTGGATTTGGGGAACATTGCTAGGAAATCCCTCTTTAGGCTATGATGTGCAGAGCCACACTGCCTTTATTTTTAAATGCATTCTTTAAAAACCTGACTCTGTCATCTGTCTGATCAGCTGTTTGATATTTTGTGCTGCACTCTGCCTGAACAAGTATGCTTACAATATCACTGTGTGAACTATCCCATTTGTTCCATGGGATTTACGGACACGAATTGAGGTCTGTGTTTATGTGTGCAGTATCACCATTTCAGTGGTGAGAGAAACTTCTTTTTTTTTTTTTTTTTTTATGTGATGTAAAATTAAAAAAAAAAAAAAAAAAAAGTAGTATAGGCAACTCTAGGTTATGTTTAAACGGACATAATAAAGGCCTGATGGGCAAATGTCTGACCCTGCATCGCGCAAGGCTGGAACTCACATTGTTTACATCCAGATTCAGCCCCGCTCCTTTCAATATCCGACATCGTGCCTTGCACCTCCAGCTGCGACAAACACAGGAGTCCTGCCTAGGGAAGTTTGCAGTCTGCCTGTCAGAAGGGCCTCAAAGGCTGAGGAAGAAAAGCACAGTTACAGCAGACCACGATGCTTGCAGCAGGCAGGATGGATATTGTCTGGACTCAGGAACTGGGGCTGCACATGTGTCACTTCTTTTGCAGGGTTTCTTTAAGTGCTTGCAGAATTTAAAGGCACGCACCATCCAACAGAGGCCTATCTTGCAATACATTAACCAGATCTTTCTGAGTTGATTAATGGCTTCAGGCTTTTGTTGTTGGATTTTTTTATTCTTATTTTTTTTTTACTGTAATACAGCTGGACCCTATGCTACAGAAATAGATAATGGATGAAATCTTGGCTCTCCTGAAGTCAGTCACAAAACTCATTGACTTCATTGGAGCCACGTTTTCATCGACTGCATTGTAGCATTTTGTATCAGCCATATGGAGGAGATTTAAAATTGGCTTTAGAAGAAATAAAAATTAGCTCCACTACAAATGATTTGCATGGGTTGTTATCTGTGTTTTTCCCCAGGTAATATAAATGGCAACACTAAGTGTAAACTGCCAAAAAGACAAATTGCTGTATAACATTTTGATTTCCTCTAACTACAGCATAACTCAACTAAAATATTAACTTAAAATCAACAAGGTTGGATTACTGTATGTAAGACCACCACCTCTGATCTGGAAGATGCAAGGGCATGGGAAGACATTCAGAGGCGCAACTGGCTGTTTGCAGTTCATGACACTCTTTAGGGCCATGGAGGTGTGAAACTGTATGTCATTGATGCTTTAACATAAGGGGCAGTAAGTTAGGCAGGAGAGACAGTATTAATTCACAGTCCTCACTTTTGCACATTTAGTGTTATTGAATTGTGTTTCCCCTTGATATTTTAAACAGATGCATCTTAATGGACTTCTTAAAATCTGATTTAAACCATAACACCAGGAAGTACAATTTTGTTAAAAATGGAGGAGAGGGGGGGAAGAAACTGCTGGACTCCCAGCCACTCCCACAGTCATTTTTTCACAGACAGTTTTTTCTGATCCATTAACCAGCCAGACAAGGATGGCACATATCCAGTGTAAATATTACATTTTCAACATTTTGGATGGCATTTTGAGCAATATTTCTCATCCCCTGAGAATGTATACTTTATAAATACAATATTATCTGCCATTCAGAGCTAGATTATGGTACGATGTGACTTTATAATGCAAAAGATATTTCAAGAACTCTATGTATGGACTCACTTACTGTAGAATAAAACTTCTTCCTTTCAGTTATTTTAATTTACAGTGCAAATGACTTAAGCACAGCATCAAACACACTTTTTTTCTGGAATAGGGAGGATCCAGACATGATTTTGAGGAATAACTCCATGTGTAGACAAGATCTGTTGCTACTGTTTAGCAGCATAATCTGCACTGTGCATATCTTAAAGTGGAAAGCCACGCTAGTATCTTCGGGAGCTAATATCCTTATTGGACTAAACTCTTTGCTCTGTATATTCCAGTAATATCCCGCTGACAGTGCCAGATGCTGACAGAACTCCGTGTTGGAAATAATTGGGAAAATTAATTGATCCACTTCCATAGCAACTGGTAGATCCTCCTAGAGAAAGAACTTGTTCCCAAATTCCCATCTTTATTTGAAATCCTTGTCTTTCTGGTCAAAAGGAAAACGGGCAATATTTGAACTGAGCCAAAATAAATTTCTTTTTACTTACTGTACTTTAAGTAAAAACAACATAGCTGCTTTGTGTAATCTTATGAAGGGGGGGACGAACCACACCCAGGCATGGCAGTTATATCAAAGTTTAGGCTGGTATGGATTTACACGGCTGAACTACACGCCCTGAATTTTGTGTTTACAATAAAAAAAACCTGGCCTATCTTTAACTAAAGCAGCATTGCTTAGGACTGTTTTAATATGTACCAGATACAGTCTATTAAACTGGAGCAAATATAATCCTGAAAATACTAGCTTCACATTTTCCTGGTTGTAGGTAATTTTCCATACTCATAATCTGCTGTTTTGAAAGAATGTCCTTATTTCCTGACTTTGAAGTACAGAGCAGTGTTTTTGTCTCCTGTTTATCTTTCCCACCTTCCCTTCAGTTTGTGGCTCATCATACTTTGTGTCTTGGGTCCTGTATTTACCCACCTTCAATAAAATGTTGTCAGCTGCTGCGTGAGTCTCATTTGCAAGTCGCTGCCTGCTGATAGCAAACTTGTAGGTCTGGTAGTACAGTCAAGCCTAGGTCTTGGAGCCGAAGAGAAGAGGGAGCCCAACACCCACCTGGTTACAACAATAAAGACAAAAAGAAATTGGAGATTTTCATAATGAAATCTGGGTAAGAAAATTCGTGGCTTTCAAGCTGGTGGAATTCTTTTACCATGGACCTGCAGGCGAGGGCGGCCGGCGTGGCTGCCTGCCTCCCGGCCCGCTCGTAGCCAGAGCTGGGGAGTCCCCACGGGGCAGCCGGGGCTCTGTGCGCCCGGCCCCGCGGGGCTGCGCCTGCTCCTTCTGGCACACCATCGGGCCTTACGTTTCCAGCCTTTGTCACTGCAAAAATAACCTCGCAAACACCAAGCCTGAGTAAACTAAGGAGCTGGCAGGAAGCTTGGAATAATGGTTCTGAGAAGTGTGAACTGCGCCCATCAAATGTGATGCCTTAGAGACCCGATAACAATGCAT